AATAACCGATTCAGATCCGCAAAGGGAAAAGATGATTTACCTCACCTAATACTTTGTGTGTTCCTAAGCAGTGGTGCAGATCTGACCACTAAACCATGTTAATTTACAATTAAAGTATTTTTATATCATTTTATTCTTACAGCCAGGCTTTGCATCTTTGCCACACAGAATATATTTTGTAGGGTTTCCTTTCTTTCTTCTTTACCTGTTCAGAGATCTCACAACTCAAGGTCCTTTTTGAATTTAACTGTATCAATACAGAAACCTGCAAACTGGAAAATGCTGTCTTTTGGGTTTTTTTCCAGCATTGCTCTTCTTCATGGAAGGCCACAACCTTGGCTTCCCAAAAAGGAGCAAACAAACATGATATGCCCATAACCAATAGGATGAAGCAAGGAGAGCCAAGTTGCTGGGCAGACCAGAGCAGTTTAATTTTATGAGATGAAAATAAGATGCCTGTGTCTCGTAGGCAGACTGAAAATATTTACAAGTGCAAGCTGAAACATACTGCAGGTGATATGATCCTGTTCAGAGATCCAGCCAGCCATTCTTCCAGACTCCATTCCAAGTTTTCTATCCTGCTAAAAATTCTCAGACTTCATTAAAATGTTTTGGGATTGCCCCCCGCCCACAGCTATTTCCCCTTAAAGATTCTGTACTCCTGTAAGACCTGGGGTATCCCCCAAGATGCACTGATATCTCCCCTCATATGTACTCATGGCGCGCTTTGACTACGTGGTGCTATCTAATCCTCACTTGAACAACGGGCTTACTTAACAAAGAACATATTTGAGAAATGGTCAAACTGGTTTTCCATTTTTTAAAGCTGCCTTTAAGTTAATATGTTTGGCAGGAGACAATGGATCAGAGATTAACTGAGATTAGCAATTAAGTGCTAAAGTGCTCATGTTCAGATTTTCATAGTAAGGAAGGGTGCCATCCTATGCAGGTCTAGATAGAAAAAAAGCCTACGACTGCCAGCATGCCCCAGCCAGGACTGTGTCTTAACTTATTCATTGACAGTATTTTAGAACTGGCATGTAAAAAAACAAAATCTTTTACTTTTAAAGATGACGCATTTTTATATTTTCTTTTTCGTTAAACTATGTATTAGCAAGATGACTAATCCGATGTTTTTAAGCTGCACTTTGGTTCTGTTTGAGGCCTCTCTGCAAACAAAGACCATTTCAGCATTCAGATCTAAGGGAACACCTGGGAGAGGGGAAAAAACAATACTGCAGACTTGGAAACCAAATGCTTTCCCGCACAGCTCCATGCATAAGTCAGGGGGTTGGGCTTTGTTTGGTTTTACCTGCAAAAACCTCAACAGGTGGAGCTGCACATTCTCGGCCTTCTCCTTAAAGGCGATTAAAGCGTCCTTTTCCTTTTGGCACATGCATGCGCACATTCATCACATTAAATCTAGCAACTCAAAATTTCCCTTTAGCAGAGAGATTTTCTAGTCTTCACATTAGGTTGTTAGGAATTGTCACTCCATGATTTGGGCTGGGTAAGAAATTTTGAATGATTTTTTATTTCCTGTACCAGGAAACACTTTGCTCTCAAAATGCACGTGCTAAGTTTAGAACGCTGTTTGCACAAAAATAAAAATAGGCAGCCTGCTTACCTGCAACTGTGGTTCTTTGAGTGATGATCTGTGCATTCACACATATAGGCTCTGTGCCTACATGGAGCCTCAGTTTGGGAAACCAAACCCCTTCCCCATCATCCAAATCCATGTGTACCTAAACAGGATCCTGCCCATCCCCACCCCCCAAGTGAGCAATTTCTGAAGCGATTGGGATAATTATGATTGGGATTATGATTGGAATTCCATAATATTGATGCCAAAACAGCAACACTGATGAAAAAAAATGTCATCAAAGTGTCATTGACTGACACTGACACCAGTCCTAACCCTAACCCTTCACTAGGAATGTGCCTCAGATTTGGCTAAAGACTAAAGTCCAGGCCAAATCAGGTCCCATCGGAGCATTTCTGGTGCTTCCTGAGCTGAAGTGACCAGACCCGAAACAGGACCATGCACAAGGCTTCATTCACAATTCAACTTCAGAAAGGCAGCTAAAAACAGAAATGCTGCTCTCATTTCTCTAAATGTCAATGGAGTAGAAGAGGAGTTGAATTACCAACAGGTGTACCTGCTAATCATAAGAGCTGCTTTGCACTCCAATCACTGTACTTTGTGGGAGGTCAAGGGTGAGAGAGGGCGATGGAAATTCTTCCAACAATATTAGGCTTCACTACAAAAAAAGTCTTGAAGTTGGTTTCCAGTCATCATACTCCCCCCCCCCCCGCTCACCTCAGCACTTAGGCACCCACCCCCAACTCTTTCTAGTGTGCCATTTTTATACAAATTGACTTTAAAAAATCACAAGGGTAAGAAAAGGGGAAATTAATCCCTTACATCCTGCCTGCTCAGTTTGAGGAACTCCTTTCCATATATTTTTTCAATCATTCTGAAACCTTGCAGTTTTTGTACTTGGGACCACCTTAGGCTTATATCATTTTTCAGAATACGGAAATACAGAGTAATGTATGTTGGAGTGAAAAATCCCAACTTCAAGGATACACTGATGGGATTTGAACTAGAAGCACATAAAATAAGGAATCTTGGGGTGGTGTGGACAGCTCGATGAAAAGGCTGGCTTAGTGCTCAGCTGCTCCGAAGAAGGCAAACTCCATGCTAGACATAATTAGGAATGGAATAGAAAACAGAACTGCCAAAATCTTACTTCCCTTCTACAAATCTTTTGTATGACCACACTTGGGATACTGTGCTCAGTTCTGGGCACCTTACCTGAAAAAGCACATTTCTTAGATGGGAAAGGTCCAGAGAAGGGCAACAAAAATGATCAGGGGGTTGGGGCACCTTCTCTCTGAGGAGCAGCTACAACGGGGATTGCTCAGATTAGAAAGAAGGTGAGCTAGGGGAGACATGATAGAGGGATCTGAAATTACTTATGGTGTGCAGAAAGCGGAAAGAGAGACATTTTTCTCCCTCTACCATAGCATTCAGACCGGCGGTCATCTCAAGAGACTGACTGGTGGGAGGTTTCAGGCACATAAAAGGAAGCACTTCAAGCAAAGTAGAGTCAAACGATGGTATTCACTGCCACAGGAAGTGGTGATGGCCACTAATCTGGATAGCTTTAAAAAGGGATTGGACAGATTCATGAGGGAGGCGGCTATCAGTGGCTACTGGCCTTGCAGGTGATGTCTGCCTTCTCTAATAGAGGCAGCGTGCCCGCATGTACCAGCTGCTGTAGAGGTGGAGGTCTTGCATTTATCCTGCTTGAGGGCTCCTATGGGCAGCTGGTTGGCCACTGTGTGTCTGGACTGCTGGACTGGATGGATGTGCTTTTTTCCCTCTTCTTGGATACTTTTAAACTGTACATGCTGCCTTTGCCCATAAACCAGGGGTCCTCAAACTTTTTAAAAGGGGGTCAGTTCACTGTCCCTCAGACTGTTGGGGGGCTGGACTATAGTTTGAAAAAAATGAACGAATTCCTATGCACACTGCATACTAAAAATTAATTACAATTAAAATAAATTTTAAAATTTAAATTAAAATAAATTTTAAAATTAATGAAAATTAACTAAATTAAAAAAAAATTAATGTTTGCTCTACTTGCTTGGGCTGCAGCAGAAGGCCAAGATGAGGTGGGGAGGAGCATGTCCATACTCAAGGGACGTAGCTACAATGTCCGCAATCGTGCTGGGGGTGGGGAGACGGGCGCGATCGCGCTTGCGCAGGGAAGGCGGGCTCGATCACGGCACTCCCCCCCCCCCCCGAGCAGGACCGCAATCGCACCCGTCTTCCCTGCATGCGCATGCCTGCAATCGCGGCCATCTCCACCCCTCCCAGTGCACTCATGCAGGGAAGGCGGGCGCAACTGCAGCCACCTCCCACCTAGCATGATCACAGTCATCCACACCCCCAGCAAGACCACGATCGTGCCCATCTTCCCTGCACAAGTGGGACCGCGATTGCGGCCATTTCCCCACGGAGTACGCCTGTGCCAGCTCAGAGCTTTTGCACTTGCTCGGAGACTGTTTTCTCCAAGCGAATCCAAAACCTCCGAGGCGGGCCGGATGAATGGGCATGGCGGGCTGTGCCATAAACCCTTGTCAGCTACTCATTTGGAATCTGGCAGGCTTGATCCTCTCAAAAGGGAAGCTATGTCTGAAAATGCCACCCAATTATGCCAAGGAATTAAACAAGCTGTTGGCAGCTTCCCAAAATAAGAATATCAAATTACAAACTTATTGCTTCCGAAATGTGGCAGGTGTAATATCCTCCTAAAGGCCTACAAAATTTCACCTGCCTCTGATTTATAGCCTTTGCTTGTTTCCCATGGTCAAAGGTATAACACCTCAGCTTTCTGGCTCTCAGCTTGAGTTCAGTACCCAAGTTGGGGGCAGAATGCTCCAGAATTGGTTTGAGCAGAATCAGATCATTTCCAAAATGCCAAACGGGTCCAAGTGGAACTTTGCAGGCACCGCAACTTTCCTAGCAAGTGAGTCTGTGGTTTTCTGCACGCCAGATGTGTTTTATCAGTGAACAGTTGCCTCCTCCAATCCCATCTAACCTACAAAAGAGGCATTACATGAATCAAGCGTGTTGACTCATTTTGTTTATTTTATACAGGTTGCAGAACTCACTTGTGCCTGGTGCTGATGGATATGAGAAAGGGAGCGTTAGCTGTGAAAGAAAGCGGGAAAGAGGTGTTGTGGCAACATGTTACTTTAGGGAGAGAGGATGTGGCTAGGACTTGCAATTTACCCCATAGTTCTCAGCATCTCACAACCATTCTACTTTTTAAGAAGCAATCCTATGTCTTTGTAATTCTCATTTAAAGGTGTGCCTTTTTAAAAACGCTCCATTACTAATGATGGCACTCATTTCAAACACATTCTTCAAAAGGGCCTGGTATTTCTCACCTGCAAAGGGTTTTCAGTGTTATCATGTAGGAGCGTACCTTTTTAGTCCACCGTTTCACCCCGTTATATCCTTTGGTTACCAGCTGTCTATGAAAAAAACTGTTGAAGAAATGGACCTGCAAAGACAAAGCAGTCAGTGAGTCAATTGATCAGGCATAATTAGTGCCTTCTGCACTAAATGGGAGTGCTGGCTGAATGCAGGTCAGGATCTCGACAGCAAAGCCAGCATGCAAGGAAAAAGGGGCAATGTGCGGCCGCGGGGGCCACAAAGCCTGCACACCACCCCCATGTGCTCTGGAGCAGAGCTTATGCATGAGTAAAAATCCTCCGCCAGCAGAATCCCTACTTGGGATCTCCTCCCTCACCCAGGAATGCGCGTCCTCACGGCAGCCTTCCAATTTTTTGTTAGCAAGACGTACCTCTACTCCCCCTCTTTCCCAATGCTATTTAGCTACCTTCACATAATAACAGGAAAAATGGAGAAAGGACACTGACCTTGTCAGGAACTGCATCCATTATTAGCTCACCATACATGTTGATAATCTGAAAGAGTTTAAACGAGTAACCGCATTAAAGAGTGAACTCGCTTATTTTTAGATGGCTCCCCCACAGAGAGAGATGTGAAGCGCGATGTTCCCAAACATCCTTTCTGTGGGTTCCACTATGAGCCAAAGGGTGCACGCGCGGCAGCACGAGAACGAGGCTCTGCTCATCCCAGTCCTGCACAAGAGCAAGTGGGAATCGCCAAGTGTCGCATTTTATCCATCATGTTTCCTTCTCACTGGTTTTCCTTCTGCAAGGAGCCCAGGGCAGCTCACACGGCCCTCCTCCTCTCCCTTCTATCCTCAGAGCAGCACTGTGAGGCTGAGGGTCAGTGACTGGTCCAAGGTCGCCCAGGGAGTTTCACAGCCTTAGCTGGAACTACAACCTGGGTTTTCTACCACACCAGCAAATGAAGGACCAGGCAATTTCTTTTTCCATAATTTGAGTTGGATTGTTGACACGTGCTACCAGCAAGGAAGCCATGAAATTATGCTAGATGCTCAAGCCCTACGCATCCCAGTCATGGGAAGAGTCCCTCAGCAACCCCTCTGGCTTCAGAGAGCTCTGTAGACATGACCCACACATACACCATGACATTTTATGCAAATGTGAAGGCCAGAACACCTCCCACACAGACACTGGGCAAGTAGCTCAGTTCTCTTCCTGATGCCACACTGCTCTTCCATAGAAACGAGGCACGTTCACAGCCCATGAAGGTCAGCCTAAATACAAATAAGAGCTTAAACAAGGCCTCCCCAAATGGCAGCTGATCCCCAGTGTGTGTGTGTGTGTGTGTGTGTGTGTGTGTGTCCCTCCCCTCCTATTCTTTCAGAAAGCATACTCTAGGAGTCAAATCATATGAAGAGTTAGTGGAAATAAAATAACTGGAGCTTGTTGCAGGGGTAGAAAATACCTAATCCTTCTTTACTAAAACAATTTAACTTCACATGAAATTTCTAAGCCAGCATACTTCAGTGGACAGAGCACTGGGACTTGAACCCTTGTGTTCTTCTCCTGAGCTTCTCAGAGTTAAGACAGGCACAGAGTGAGCTCAGATAGCAAGATTCAAAGAAACAATAGCCTAATCAGGTCTTCCATACTCAATGAAACTGAATGCATTTGTCCATATCTGGAAAGATTCACAGATTTTCAAGCCAGCATACCCAGGCATTTTATATGCAACAAGCAAGGGAGGTTGCTTTTGTGAGTTTATCACAGAAGATTTGAAACATTACTTACAGGTCTACTGCAGAACAAATGTACTGCACTCCCCTTGAAACAAAAATTATTTGCAATCCAAAAAGAGGCTACTATTTTGCAGTGAATATAGATTTCCACAAATAACCGGCACAACTGCTTAGACAACTCACCAGCACAAAATTGTTTTTTCTTTCCTAAACAGAACAAGTTCTCAGTTTAAGGCACCGGTGCTGATCAATGCTTAATGTAGCAAACAAGTATGAAAAGGAAGCTGTCTTTGTTATTTGCTTTAAAGTGTTGTCTTATTTTACTGGACCAACTGACTGTCTTTGCAAGCTTCTTTTTCTCATTCCACTGAATAAGGCTGTTGACTTAAAATATGTACTAATCCTAGCATGGATTACTTTCCATTCTTACTTTCCATTTTGAGTCTCAGTCTTGTTTACCTTCTAATTAAAAGATAGTCTCATATCCCGACATCATGATGACATAACTAATTATGGGCTTAAAGTGACCAGTGCAATAAACTAGAGCTGTCACCCATCTTTTAACTGGCAAACATCCAAATTAATTAACCCATCAGCAGAAAACAGAAGAAAACAATTTTATGCCAGTTGTGCAAGAATCCCAACTTCTTTTTTTAGAAGACATCAAGTTTTCAGCTCTGTGTCTCAAATTATCTCAATACCGAAAGTCACAAACAAGCTGGAAAAAGCCGCCTGAATTTATCAAGACTACCAACTGTCTTGATCTCAAATATATTAATCAATATTGCAATTAAATGTAGGATAAAGTGTAACCCTGCAAATATGGATAGGCAGCGCTGATGGTCACAAAGACAAGGCACCCATCTGTCCATGGCTTTCCCTATGTGGCTGTGAGGTGCATGCGCATCTAGATGCAGCCTCCCCGAGGCTCCTGCGATGGGGCGGCATTTAAGTTGTTTAAATAAATAAATGATTGATTTCTAAGCAGCATACAACGCATAAAAGGCAACTCAATTCCTGCCCGCAGGTCCAGTCTAATAGTCAGGATGCTAAAGAAAAAGCAAATGGGGAGGCAAGGAGAAAGGAAGCACATCCAAGTAACAGTTCTCAAAGCGACACATTCAGCAGTGGCGTCTGATCTGGACAAGCGACCCTCCCTGCATCCCAGTCCTTCCAGCAGCCTTTCACCCACTTGCTGAAAGCAAGGCCAGAGTGTGCGTCCCATCATTTCTGCACTCCCAGGACCACAGGCAGCTGGAGCAGAGAGGGTTCTGCGGTGCGTTTTCATTTTTCACACAAAGAGCCATCAGGAGAGAGGAAACAACACTGAACACAGATGAAATACATCAGCATACCTTTCTAGCTAATCCTGCATAGTTTTGCCTTGGGTTTGCACCCTTTTGCTTTCTTTTTGCAATCGAAAACATCCCTCCAAGAATATAGACCACTGGTGGACACACATTTGAAGGCCCCATTCAAAGGAAATCATGTTTTTCTAAGAAGATATCCTAGGGGCATGATCCTATGCTAGTTTAGGCAGGAAAGAAGGTCTATAGCTTCCAGCATTTTCCACACCGATAGTAAACCACCTGCTGTATTCCGCACACTTGCAGTCTCATGTTTAGGCTACTGTAAGGCCCTCCACACGGGGCTCCCCTTGTCCCTTGCCAGGAAGTGGCGCTACTGCAGCGTGGAACTTCTAAATGTACACATCCTGCCTGCTAAAAGCACTGCACTGGCTGCTTCGTAGCTACCAAGCTTCAAGGTTTTGTCACTGGCATACAAAGCCTTGGGACCAGAACACCCAGCTGACAGTCTTCCTGTATATATACCATTGCAGAGATCTTCTACGAATGTCTTAAGGCTCGCTCCACAATACATGTCACTAGGAAGTGGTCAGTAAGTGGGCCTGCTCAGAGGTGGCAGCTGTTCTGTGCAGCACACTCCCATGTGTGAGCCAAAGGCTCCAAACAGTGGGAAGTTGTGTACAGCACTTGAAAACACACAGGCTCCTCCCAACCAAGTGAGACTCTCTTACCATCCCCATTCTTACAGTCTTGATGTAATGTTTGGAAACTTTCTTAACGGCTTCTATTATTTTTATTATTTTACTCTTATTTTTGTATTACATTGTATTTAAATGTCAACCAGCCATGCTCTACTTGAAGGCCTCTGTTTCTGCTTAAACTTGCACAGGATTGCCCCTGTAGGGACTATTAAGCAGTATCCAAGTACATTATGAATAAATGAATAATCACTCATCTATGGTAAATACTGGTTTTTTTCAAGCTCTTGGCAGCCTCCTGTCTAAGAGCTACTAATAAAAATTGCCCAGGGTCCTTTCGGAGAAGATAATTATGATTTTTCTCACAATATTAGCAGTGCTGTTAGACAGCTGAGTTGCACAAACGGGCTAGAGTTTTTCAGCTGTGACTTTCCAGAAAGTTTGAGCATGTGAACACAACTTGGTCAGTGATCCTCTGACACTGGAGTCTCTCAAGCACACCAGAGATTTTAACTTATTTTGCACTATTTGTCTGATTTAACCAAGTGCCATCAATGTGCTTTACCTGTGTTCTTCCTCAGTGTCACCAGAGTGCTTTTTAATTCGACATGTCTGTCTGGAATAATGAGAAAAAGGCTGATCTAGAAAGGGAATTAAGTGAGGAAGTTCAGGGAATCAAAACTGTTCCCTTCTGGTTCCAATGTTTTCATGAAGGAATTGCAGTTTTGTCTGAGTTTTAATTGGAAAAATACAGAAGCAGCTTGGGGTTAACAATAACAGCAAGAACTGCAGCGATACCCATAGAAGGGGCAGACATAGGAAACCAGTTGTGCTGCCTGCTTGAACTCAAACAAATCTCAATATGACTTGAGATTAAAAATCCAAACCCCATGTCATTTCAGCATCAGTATGTTTCTCATCATGTGCAGCTTCTCTGTCCCATCAGTAAACTTCTCCAATAACATTTAACATTTTTAGAAATCCAAATTGGAGGTAACTATTGTGAGAATATGGAATGAAAAAACAAGTGTTTTTATCCAGCATTATTTTCACTGCATACATGTGTGCATTGTTAATAATTTTTATTTATTTATTAAAACATTTTTATGCCACCCCATTCGCCGAAGCCTCGGGGCGGCTTACATCACTAATAATCTGATGAACGCAGTGTTAGACTGGGGACCCAAGAGGTCCACCTTCTACTTCCCACTCAGCTGTAAAGCTGAGTGGCTCTCAGCCAGAGGTTCTCAATCCAACCTACTTCACATGGTTGTTTTTGTGAGGATAAACAGAGCTCCAGGAGGCACATTGGTTCCTCACAAGAGGAAAAAAGCAGGATATAGATGCAATGCGATAATATACATATTCATGATTAAAAATAGTAGATTAATCTGATCAAGCAACTAAGAGCAGGGATCCAAAATCTGCCTTGCGTTAACTGCCAGCTTCTTGCAAACTTTCCTTCCCTCCTGCACTGCAAAGCCCCGTCTGCACAAATGCAGGAATTTCTATCATTTGTGGAACAGGAAAGATTATTTTCAAGCCTCGGTGGAAGCAGGAGTTCAGGGAAGGAAACGTGGGCTGTTCTGCACCCTTTTCTCCAGATAATCACGGGCAGGACAATAGATTTGTGGATGCCTTCTAATTTATTTTCCCCAACTGAGCCCTATATTTTAAATGCATGTAAATACTTACAAAAGATGGAAGCAGTTGATGCTACCCTAGAAGAGGCATTGCTGCTATGGGGGAAGGAGGAGTACATCTTCTAGGATTATGTCCACCGTAAATACATATGTATCATCTAAGAAAACATGTTTCCACTTCCCTTCAGATTTGTTTTGACCCATATCCAAATCAATGCAGATTTTATCAGTTCAAACTCAGGCTCAGTCAACTAATTTTGTTAATCAGGTGACAGGTTTAGTATGTCCACAATCAAGCTGTGTAGGGAGTAGGTCTTTCCCACCCAAACAACACGCCTCATGCAGTACGTGCACAGAGTAGGAGACGAGTGATCCACCGCATTCTCTGGGTTAGATGGAGACAGATGAAGACAGAATAGAAGTTGGAAATGTAGCTTCCATATGGCTCGGAGAGAGTGAAAGAAACCAGAGATAAAGGTGGGATCTTGATATCTTCGATATAGGATAGTGATTGCTCTGAAAATGGAATCTGCTTGGGAAAAATCTTACCTGCATTTGCTAGACCATGAAAAATAAAGAAATGCCCAGATAGAAAGACAGTTACCCCCAAAAAATGTTTTTCACCAGAGTGGTGGTTTGAAGATGAAGTTCAATTAATAACCTTAGCAAGATTTATTTCAACCTAGAAAAGCCTCATATTGCAAAAGACTGTTACGAGATATCTGCAGCGGTTCTCTTCTAACCTCTACAATTCATTTTACACAATAATGCCATATGCAGCGGACAGGATACAAAAGCAGATTAATGCCTTCCATCTGCCTCCAAAGAAACCAACATTCCACAGAGCTATACTGATAATCAGGCAGGAGTTTCACAAAGGTGAGATTGAAAGCACCATTTTAGGCAGGTTTTAGAAGTCTGATTTTATTTTCTCTGAAAAAAGCAGAGCCTCAAATTGCTCTCACCTGGTCGTTTAGCCAATTCTGACCATCTAGCGTTGTCAGATCATCCATATCCAGCATGTGCTTATTATAGAAGACCCGGAAATTGCAAGTAGAAGATTTGGGATGCCGTGTCTGATACTTCATGATTTCCTTAGTGATGAATGGCTTTCTGGAACAAAATGAAGGCAGCCAAGGGGGAAAAACAGACAATGCTAAGTTATCAAAGCACATTTGAGACACAGCTGTGAAGCAGAAGAAGCAAGTGGAATCTCAAGTATGAACAGGCAGAGCTAAACATTATAGAGAGAATTACTAACCTATGAGAAAAATCTTCATTAAAGACTTCCTTTAATTTTCCCATAACATCCTTCTCGCAAAGTGGAATTAAGCTGCCGTATTTCTTCATTACTTCATCTAGGAATCCTTTAATGAAAATATTGCTTTGTAAAAAAAAAACCAAAAGATAAACTTAAGAGTATCAGTCCCACAAGAACGAGCTAACAAATTTCTACAAATGAGTTTACGCAACCCCCTTCAAGGAAGGAAGAGAACTTTCCAAAGTTATCATTCAAGGCTAACCAACAAGCAACACAGTGCAAGGACAGTACCAGACTCGGATCTGGGTTCAAATGAGCTCCAGAATAGATTGATGGCCTTGAGCCATGAAGGACCAACAGCTACTCCAGTCCCTCCTAAAGCACTAGAATCATGCACAGGGCACCTGAAGATGTCTAGAGTGTATTTAAAAGGCAATCCAGAGCCCTAACAAGACCTGGAATCTAACGAGTTGATAAAGGCAGCGTTTTAATTGGTGAGCTAGAAAAAAGTGCTTCTAGATATAGGGTGTCCTGCAGCTCTAGTGGAATTAATTTGGGGCACACCCAACCACAGTGCCTCTTGAACTGCACCTTTCTAGGTGGATGCAAAGGACTTTAATCAGCATATCATCAGTTCTGTGGTTTGGGAAGAAGGGCATCTAACATCTGGATAAAACTGGGATTATATATCTGCACAACAGAAATGGGCAAGGAATACACAGTGAACACAATAAGCAGATGTTCAAGTAATGGCAATCTGACTGCATTTCCCTAAAAATACCTTATTATGAAAGACCAACTGAGGCTAATTGTAGTGAGGTGGAAAGGAATCAGAAAGAATTAACCTGAATGCAAAAACAACCTTTTGATGTCTGCATATGATATTTCTTATAATTGCTATACTGATGAACCTACATTTCACCAACTAAATTACAGCCACTAAAATGTACACTAAATTCATTTGAAACATTCTTAGGTCAAGTTAGTTCATACTGTACTTAAGAACATTTTCAGAATCATGTTACACACATATTAAGTGTTTTATACCAGTGTTTGCCAGCACCATTTACACTATGGAATTTTTCTACCATGGAATGCTAGAAGCCAAGAACTTCATCACTGACATGCCTTCCAAATTGTGCCAGCAGGTGCCTGGTGATATTCAAAGGCTAACGCAAAGTTGACGCATCCCAGAAGCTAGTGGCTTCCCAGCTGGCTCTTTGCAAGCACAAATGTACCCAAGGTCAATCAGAGCTTTGAAGCATGCATGAGCTAAGCACATTCATGCCACAACAAACATCTCCAGAACACGAACATACCATGTGATCAGCTCTGGAATGATCCAGGAGGGACAAACAAATCTGTCAGTTTTGCCTTCTCATTTCCCTAGCCTTAAATTGTTCTTTCCACATCAGCTAATGACAGCAAATGGGAAGGCACTTTCTTGCATATTTCTTGTAATCTATGCATTTTTATAAACAGCTCTGCCTCATTTCGGACATTATATTCCCTTAATATACACATTGTTGTTCCTTTTTTATCGGAAAACTTGAACTGCAAATTCCAGAAAAGTATGAATACCAGAGGATAACTGCTTCAGTTTGCATAACGGTTTGCAAAACGGCAACCAAATAAATGACTTCCCCAGCCCTAATCAGACGCCTGACGGCAGACATGGGTCTGAAAATCCCAGCTAACTATTCTCAAGCACAAAACGGCAAGTGAGGCAGAACAGAAGTGGCAGGAGCTCTTCCATCCTTCCTCTGGTCACTGCTTATCCCTCCTCAAGGTGGCAAAGGTGTGTCTGAGAGGGAAGTAATGACACATAAATTCTACAACAGGTATGCTGATCTGCAACTCCCATCATCCCTCCCCACTGGCTGTGATGGCTGGGACAGGAGGGAATCACATCTGAGAGGCACTAATTAAGGGCAACCGTTTTAGGGAAACAAGCAGTGGACACATACCATTAAGCAGTCCCATATTTCTCCCTTGCTAAACCTCACTGCCCCACATAACCAGGGCGAAATGAAGATTTATATTCTGAAACATGTGCTTGCCATCCAGTGCGGAGGAAAATGCCACATGTTTCACTGGTCCTCTGTGCAGAAAATACAGGGATGTGGGAACTATCTGCACTATGAAAGCTGGACCTGGTAAAGGGGAGGGGGATCCCTGCTTACTTGCAGAGCCCCTGCCTTGCATGCAGAAGGTCCAGATTCCATCCCCAGCAACTCCAGGTACAGCTGGGAGACTCCTGCCTGATCTCCTAAGGAGCCACTGCTGCGCTCCGCAAGCCAATGGCCTGGCTCCATGTAATGCTCCAATGACCAATCAAGTGTCACTGACTGCAAGAATACATGTACATACTTGGCACTTCCGCACTTTGCGCTACACCATTATCCTCCACGGCAAACAGCACTGCCTCCCACAACCATCAAGAGCACTGCTGGTCTTAAGGGGTACCTCAGGGCTGAACTGTGAAGGCAACAGACTACAAGAAAGTAGTGTTGGAAATATTTATAGCACATTCTCAATAAGTTTATGCAGAACAGACTTTTCTATTCTGGCATGTGCTGGGATAATACTGGCACTTCCCAGGCAACGGCAAGCTCATTAACAGTGCATACTGTATGTAAACATGATGCTGTAACCAAGCACCCCCCCACACACACACACACACTCTAGCTTGCTAGCCCACATCTGTCTTGGTAACAAAGACTGGCTGACAGAATGTTCTTTTGACAGATCTATTCTGATAGGGGACTTTCATGTTCATATGCCCGGAGGAATCCCATAAAGGTTGCCCCACAACTCTCAGTTACACTGATGCATTTTTCAATAACATGCATCACAGAGAGCTTCAGTTGTGGGGCAGTACAGACATGAAATTAATTAATTAATTGTATGCATCAGTGCAATTCAAACAGCTCTAAAAAGCAAACTTGTAGAGTAACAAAGAGGTCAGCCCATCTGTTTTCTAATCCACATCCATAATTACACACAGCCTCTTATTTCAGTACGGACATATACCATCAGGCCATGAATTCCAGAATTATTTAACCTAATATTTCCACAATAAAATAAGAGACTGAATGTATAATCAACATACGTTACAAGTGTAACTCTTTGAATGAAGTTGACCAAGATTTCTGGGGCCACAAGTAGTAGAGAAAAAATCATGAAGAGACTCCACTTCAAGGGGGGGGGGAGGGGAGGGCTACAAATGTAAAAATAAAAATAAACAAACTATCTTTTGATTTTGTTTTCTGTTATCAATTTCTCCAATTGCAATTTCTTCCTGTATTGAGCACTTCAGAAGATACTCCCTCGTCTTAATTTCATTGGAATTCTGTCTGCACGATTAATAAATGATAGGCCTGAACAATCTGTCAGGGTGGATTGATTTAAACCAAGGCAACTTAAATCACTGATTTAAATCAAGTTTCCCACTGAAACTTTTAAAATATATCTCCTAAACAATTGTACATGCTCATTTATACTTAAACAGAATATGACTTGAATTGTTTCATTTTTACAAGCAGGCCTTGTACCTTCATTTGTATACATTTCACATACTATCCTTTTTAGTTATAGAGGGCACATCTTTAAAATGTTCTCAGACAGCGCCTTTCGTACAACCAGCAGCCGTGAGAGTCTAAACAACGCAACCCTATTAATGTCTACTCAGTTTCAGAGTTGAACAGCGCTTTCTCCCAGGCAAAGAGTTACAGAACTGGAGCCAAAGTATCAACACTGGACAACTGTCTTCTCTTCTCCTTTCCATCATTGCTCCTTTCTGCTTCGCTCTACCTTGGCCCAGCGTTGCCTTCATAAAAGCAAAGGAGCAAACAAAAATGCAAGTCTTATAACTGATCTGTAGAAGCAAGGCTTGATCTTTACCAGGTAGCTAGATTTTTCATCAGGTGAAAATGGCATGAAGGTGTTTGGGTAGAGGGTAAATTATTCAAATTGAACAACTGAGGAGATTGGTTAGGAGAAATTTAGCTTTAAAAAATAAAACAACTTCTGGCTTTTGAAAAAAATCACCATATGTTATCCACTTCCCTTCTGTCTTTTTTGGGGGTGGAAGGGTAGCCATCTTAACTTCTCTGCCTTGCTTGGACAAGCGCCAAAACCACATAAACACAGAACTAGGATCCTATCAAGCCTGTCTTTTCCCCTGTGACGTAAGTCACCAAGACAGACTTCAAAAGCCCAGAACCTGCAAAAAGCAAGAGCTGGAAGTTAGGCTGGACAGAGCCATTTTCATGAGGTGAAAAACTAAGATGAGTGTCCATTCTTGACTGAATTTCTTAGCAATCTGTACATAAGTGTGACAGAGATATTAATTCATTTTTATAAGACTGCAATGGTAAAATTAGGTTGTTTAAGGTGACACGTAATTCTACGTTGGTTTTCAATAAGAAATGTAGTTATTTTATGAAAAAAAATCTAATTTCAAAAAATCCAATTTGAATTTCAAAAACAAATCCTATGTCTGAATTTTAAACATTCCAATTTTAGCCATGCCAATCAGAATAGAGCTCATTAGACACCATCCCACAGCCTTCTCCACTGCTCTTGCAATTCTAAGCAGGCGGGCAAAAACCAAGAATTTTTTGGCATTCATGGTGGACTGCGAAACGCAGCTTTGCAGGGTCACAAATGCTACAGACCAGTCATCAGGGAATGAGGACAGCCCAGCAGAACATCCCCAACATCTCAATTTCTATGAATGCAGTAAGAAGCAAAACATCTGAGCACCACACAAAGCAACTGTGACATTTTCATCAGAATTGAGAAGGCAGAATTCCTAACTTGGTCGGACAGGAAAGGAAAACCTGCAACATGCATGAAAGAAGTGTGTGTATCTACCACAGAGCCATGAGGCCAGCTGTTCATCACTGACGGAAGAAGCCCTCTGGCTGTTCCTTTTGCCACTCTTTTGGGCCCCTGATTTTTGTCCTGTGCTTCCTGTCAGAGGCTCATCAAGAGGGCTTTTACAGTAGGGGTGATCCAAGAGCTCTGCGCCAAATACGTCCGTGCTTAGGGGCCCTTCGACTTCCATCTGACTACGGCTGTCTTCATTCTGCGCCAGCTCCACAAGGACAGGTCCATTAGCAAAGGTGCCACTTGTGCCCAAATCCACCTTGGAGGGCTCGAGCACTAGGTCATCAGCCCCCATCGCCTGGTTTGATCCTTCTCTGTCTTGCCCTGAGACCGAGATTTCCTTCTCCATTACAGAGATGAAAATTTCATGAGGGCAGCCATCCAGTGCGGGCACTTCCTCCTTGTGCACAGCTTCCGCCCCAGCTAAAGCTCCTCCAAGCAGCTCCGGCATGCGGGTCTCAGCAACGCCATTTTGGTCTCTGGGCGCAAGGTCCTTGCAACGGATCTCCCTGTGCTGCAACAGCACACCCTCTGTAAGGCAGGCATCGGGCCGATGCGTCCGACTCTCCTCAATTAATGGTCCTGGCATGTGATTGTTCATATCTGACAAGCTGAGCAGATTCCAGGGAGATTTGCTTTTCAATTTCCAAGGAGGAAAAGGGGTCCCGGAGCCGCCTGCAAAGGCTCCTCGGTGGAAGTCCTCCTGCTGATCTCTAGCCACTCTGTCCACCCAGCTCAGCTTGCTTTTGCTCAACTTGCACGTTTTGCCCCTCCAAAACTTAGGATGAGATTTTGCAATTCTAATTCGAAACTTAATCACAGAAAGTTTCTTATACATCATAAATAAAGATCTGCTTTTGGAAATACACTGTTTAAATTTAGGCCTTCTCCTAGTAGTCAAGAATGCACAAGTTCCATTTCCATTTAGTCCCTGGCAGCAGCACTTCCTGTTAGAGTTATTTAGGATTATAATCTCATTGCTTTCACCATTATTGTTCTCTCCCCCATTCTGAGAGAGAGCATCTCTCTTCACTGGAAAGGCAGTAGTACTGGCCTCACTGCACCGCTGCTTGCCGTGACGACCCTTTGAGTCACTGCATTCATTCAGCAGTTCACTCTGAGCAGATGCCCCACAAGGCTCCTCTGGTGCTTTCAGTGGCCCCCCACTTTCACACCTAGGCAAAGGTTTTCCATGTATCTCTTGTGGGAAGCTGCAGTTTTCAACAGGTGCAATTTGCTGGGATTTTGCACGGAGGGACACTTCAGGAACCTGCTTGTTCAGGAGCCGAATGGCCTTCTTTCTGCATGGTTTCGCTGGTTTCAGGCTTGCAGCTGTACAAGTGCTCTGCCTCCCTCTTTTAAGAAGAGAAAAATGCTTCCTTTGGAAGCAGTATTGCCTCAGCCCCCGAAATCCCACTGTCCATTTTCGACAACCGGGCAGCAACCAACTTCTCCGTTGTAATTTTTTTCTATGTTCTTTCATTTTTCTGCTGCATTATGATCTCGAAGTGCAGCTGTAACAACAAAAGAAAAAGATTTACATTTCAGGAAACACCTGAATTTTACAGTTCACAATCCTCCAGCAACACAACCGTTTACAAGTGTTGCCTTCAGGAGGAGGTGGGTTTCCTGATGCCTGGGGATTTCTGGCTTCCTTCCTAATCCTTACAAGCCTTTTGACCAGACTAGAGCTAACCTCACCCCTTCCCTGCTTGTGCACTGCTGAACATTCAGTAAGAGCCCCTCTGCCTTATTCATTACAGCAGGGCTCAGGGTCCTGGGACCATCCAGACTACGCCACAGCTTCCATAATTACCAACCAACATGGTTAGGGGTGTTGGAAGTTGTAGCCCAACAACTGAAAAGCTGGACCACAAGTTCATTGCCCCTGAATTACAATATGTCCAATCACATAAATATCAGTTTTAACTGTAATTAATGCATTAATTTTCATTTCACAATCTTGTTGCCCCCCTCCCCACACAGCAAAGTAATCTGTACCGCCTTGGATCCATAAAATACTAGGTCAGTAGCCTCCATCACAAAACTATAAAAAATGAAAGCAGAACCCCTGTGGTTGAAATAAAAATATTAACACCAATCCACCAAAGCTCACATAAAAAGCAATGGGATTGGACTTCATCATTGTGCCATAATCCTCAATGTCTGAAACCAACAAGAGCCATTAAATCATTCAGCTATATGTTACAATGGACCAAATTCATCAGAAACTCCAACCCCCTTGAATGAGGCAGGATATTCTATAATTACATTCAGTCCCATCGCATGGTCTGAAGGCACATGAGGCAGCCAACTTCAAATCTAGATCTCATCCGTATATCATGAATGTCCTTTGGGGCATCCCATCTGTCCCCCCTCCCGAGCTCTATGATAGAAGAAATGTGGTACAAGAATGTAATAGATCAGCCTTCCCTTGTCTGCAGATTCCAGATGTTTGGGAGTACAATGCCCATTGGACGTTACCATCCCATAATTATTTCAGAGCAGAAGCTACTGCAGCAACAATAAAGTCTTGTGACACCTTAAAGACTGAAACATGAAACTGTAAGTTTCCATGGAGTTGATAAAACAACTTATGCCGAATAAACTCATTAAGCCTTTAAATTACCACAACACTCTTCCTCTTCTTCTTCTTTTAACAGACTAACAGAGCTTCCCTTCTGGAAACATCCCTGTCGCAATAAATTGGTGCAAAAACCCAGCTCATATGTGACGGTGGCAAATTGTTCCATGGCTATTTTGAATATTCAGTTCCCAATCAAGCCATCCAAGGTACCAACATGATATATAAACCCAGATGCTGTAGGCTAATGGTGGGTTAAGTAAGGGAGGCGGAGCAGAGAAAATGAAGTGAGCAAAGCAAAAACAGGAAACACAAAATGCCCCAACATGTATATATGAAGGAGGGGAGAAAAGCAGCAAGGCGGCACACAAAGAAGAACACACCCAAGCTAAATTGCAAGAAAACAGCACATATGCGTTCTAGATGTGGCTGGCGGAATCCCATCCCAGTTCCAGGAGCTTTTTCTCCCACATGGAGCATCCTGGAAAAAATGTCAAGCATGCTGTTAGCAGGAGTGCCAAAAAAGGGTGACATAATTTTCCAAGTACTTAGCTTAAAGAACATCACACTTCTGCCCATCATTAGGAAACAAAAAACAGAACTATCAGTTCTGGCAGGATGTTATAATTGCCATCTTCGCACCCATCTAATGAGTCCTTCCCTGTAGCCCAGATTGTTCATCGTCACCACTTTGTTCTACCTTGCCTGTAACTATCAAGAACCTTTGCAGAGCTTGCCCTTGGGTCTGCAGCCGAGCCTACTTCGGCAAGATATCTGTCCTGGTACCATGGCAACACACCAGGCGAAAGCCTGAACAAAGATGAAGGATTCATTCCTTAGATAAGTGAGAAATCAGTTTTTTTCCCCCCTGCAAAAGTCATCTTCATTAGTTAGAGTTGATCAGTGAATAATAGCTCATGAAAGTTGTCAGGTCCATACCCCAAGTGTTTTCAATACAAAACAAAACCAACAACAATGGAGGTAAAGGGTGCGAGAAAAGAGGAGGAAGACCAAGAAAAACCAAGGAAGTTAGAGAAAAGTAGGCTTAACTGGGGCTACAGATAGTGCAGGAAACACACTTTTAGGAAACTGCCTGTGCTGATTTGCAAAAAATGAGGATACACAGGAGTACTGGAATGCAGAGAGGTGGCTTGATGAACAGAAAAGATGGAAAATCCTTCTTTAGCAATCTCTGAGGTAAATCCATATGGATATTTGCAGATTGGCAATGCTTCTCAGAAAACACAGTTGCTTATTAAAGTGTAGAGGATAAGTGGCTTCACAACTTCAGGAAATCCTACAAGGTAGGATGTTTCGGGGTAAGGCACAGATTTGAGATGCAGGGAGCAGATAGAAATAGATGCAATATTTAATTTATCAAACTAAAAATGTCCCTCCTTTAATTTAGGTAGATGAAAGTTCTCTGTGACTGGCCTGCCCCCTAAAGAAGTGGGGATTAATCCTTTCCTCCCTGGTCTACTCCCCCACTGACCAAAACTATACAACTTAAAATTTAGTGGGCACATAGGAATGTCATTCTATGACATATTTGTGGGCTGTATCAAAGATAACCACTCCATCACTGCTGCCTGTGTTGTACCAGTGGATCCCAGCAGTAGCACAACCGCTGAAAAGAGCAGGCTGAAGAAGTAAATGTCAAACAGAGCAATCCTGTGCATGTCTACTCAGAAGCAAGCCTTAACAAGTTCAGCAGGACTTGCATCCGTGTGGGGGGGGGGGGGGGGTGGGGGTGCGCGCGCGCGCACAGGTACAAGACTGCAGCCTCAGTTTTATACCAGCAACTGTTAAAAGGGGTGGGGGGATCTGCAAGTAGAAACCATGATGTTTGTGGTATTTGAGCAGAAACAGTATGCCAAATTATTGAACACTGGCATTTTTTGGATAATGAGGCTTTTAAAAAAGTTTAGGCACAGGTTTAGACACAAGTCCTAGAACTCCCAGCATTCCCTTGCCATCGTGGGTGACTGGGGAGTGCTGGGAATTGTACAATTTTTTCTCCCTTTCTAAAGATACATAGATTGTGTCCTTACTGGTTTGCTATGCACCCTGTGCTCTGAAAACACCATTAATTAGAAGTCTTCCCTGAGGAACTGTAATACCATAAACTATGAAATGTAACAATCATTCTGGATCAGGCCAAAAGTCAATCAAGACCAGCCTGCTATTTCAGACAGCGGCAAAACCAGGTGCCACAAGCAGGATAGAGAAGGGATACAGCTCTCACTGTTGTGTGTCCACCCCCACCCCCCACTGATATTTATAAGCAGAGTATTTAGACAGTATGATGATAAATTGCTCCAGAACATAACTGAAGAGACCAGTTGGTTGCATTAGCAAACCACAATGGGACAGTAAGCCTCTTCCAGGATCAGGGTAAGCAATCCGGGTAAGCAACCAAGTCACCAGTTACACCAAACGACTGGGAAAAAGGTTAACTTCTCCTACATGGCAGCCTAGTTTCTACAATCTGGAATAGAGGCACTTTTTTAGATCCGAAGCAGAAAAATCTGTTCGTAACAGTGTGATCGATTCCAAACAAATTATCGGTCCTATTACACAGGTTTGAATAGCAGGGACAACTATATAAAAAGACTATTAAGTGCTTTAATGATGAGACTGAGGCTTGTCATACTTCAGAAACATCATGGAAAGGCTGGACTCACTGGAGAAGGCAATCAGGCTATGGATATGTGAAGACAGAAGAAGAGGAAGACCAAATATGAGATGGATGGACCCCAAAAAGGAAGCCACAGCCTTAAACTTAGGGCTGAGTAGGGCTGTCATGGATGGATATCTTGGAGGACTTTCACTCATGGGATTACCATAAGTGGGAGACAACTTGACAGCACATAGTAACCACAACAACATGTTTTAATGTTCAGTGCATTCAAAAGAGCAATTGTTTCAAAAGGTAGCCTGGACTACTCTTCCATCACAATACTAAACACTAAAAATAGAAAGAAAAAGAGATCAGAAGATATTTTGATTCATTTATTATGCTACATTAGAGATACCATGCTAGCCTAGCCTGTTTCACAACTTATCCACTCGCTTCCTTAGCTTTCCCATTTCTATGGGAACAAGAGACGCCTCACCCCCCCCCCATCACCAACAAAGGCCGTGCTTTGGATCCCGGATTACCATGTCAAGATTTCACATCATCAGCAATGCAGAGAGAATACGCTGCCGGCTGCCTAGGCAGAACAAGATGCTTCAGCCAAGTAATCAGACTTTGCACACACACAGGCAATTAACATTTCACCATTCCAAAATGCCTCAGCCTATACCAACAAAGAACTAAGATGGTGGCACAAACAGAACAGAAAGTTCAACTCATCAGCCTGTTTTCATTGTCTAGGGAACAGAGGACAAGCAGAAATGCTCATGCATGGAAACTTCCACACATTCCACAGGCAGCTGAAGAAGCATTCCCAGAGTTTTACCCACACTGTGAAGCTTTCATGCTTATATATAAAGTATACTTTTCACAAGGTGCAAAACATTAGGAGACTCTACTGACACCATTCATTGCAAATAATCTGTTAGTTTTATACCTTCAAAATTACATTTGTGATTTGTTTCTAGATGACTTGCGTCTGCTAGGCAGAACAGTTTTGCAAGCTAGACATTTTTTTTCCAGAACCAACATTTACTGACTGACCACATCATTGGCAAGTAACAAAAGCTAAACAGCCAAATTCTAAAAGCAGAAATGGGCAACTTACTCCGTGCCAGGAGGCACACTGGAAAAATGTGGCCAGAGGGCTGTAACTAATCTAAGCATTTTTGCTAGATGGAGTAGCATAATTACCATGAAAATGGGAAAGTATTGAAACAAGTCTACTTGCAGCAGAAATTTCTAGAGACAAACCACCATAATACAAAACAGGCTAAAGAGTGACCATATAGGATCCTTCCATCCCTAGCCCAGCCCTTCAACACGACTGCCCTTTTTCTACAATGGCTATTCAATAATTGAGTAGACAAAACCCAATTCATTTCAAAACAGTCAAACAGGCTGTGACATCAATATATTTTCAAAATGCATGTGGTGAAATAGGGTGGGAGGCTCTAAAAGCATTTTCTAGAGTTTGTTACCCAAACATGAAGCCAGCTTCTGGAAAATGACATCAGACTGTCACTTTGTTGTCTTCTCTCTTGCAGTGGGGAAGCCTGTTACTACTCCCTACTCTAAATCATTTTTCCGAATGACTGCCACTGATAAAAGAATCTGCACACTTTCCTATTGCAGTGAATTCTTGATCATAAGCCATGGGATCTTTCAGATTCTGGCTCCACAGTTGAAACTCCAGAGCCGGGAATCCACACTCAGCATTCCCACCCCTAAACACCTTGCAGGGAGCCTGAAGTGGACAACACTAGTCAATTCCCTGAGGTCCTAAGACCAACTTCGGAGAAGGGATGACAAGGATGTTCTGGGAAGTGGAAACAAGAGACTGGGTCTGCTAAGGTACCACAAATCCTGGCAATGCTCCAGGCTCCTTCTGTCTCCATCCAAGGCACCACTTCTAGCAGATCAAGATTAGCTGGCTAGCTGCTTTCCAAGCTGGCAGGGGCAGGCAAGCAAAGTTAGCCTCTGTGCTCCTTCTGCCCTGCACAAGATACTTGTTCCGAGATTTAGGCACTCCCACTGAATTGCACCCGAAGTTGTTTTGGAGGTATGATTTTTCCAGCAATGTCAGATTTACTCAGATTCCCATACAATACAACATGGCACTCATGGATGCTAAGTAGAAGCCAGTATCCAGATTGGTTCAATGGTTAAGAGCACGGGACTGGGACTCAGGTGACCCTGGTTTCTAGTACCTGCATGGCAATGGAACCAACTGGTTAACTTTGGCCCAGTCACAGACTCAGTCCAACATAACTTAAAGGGATAAGGCTGAGACCAGGAGAAGGAGAATGGAGCAAGCTGCTTTGAATGCATAATAAAAAAGTGGGATATAAATCAAATAAATCAATAACATAAGATTTATGCATTCTATTTATTAATTTAACTTACATTCTGCTATACTAGTCTGAAGATTCTCCAAACAGATTACAATATTTACAATAATAAAAACAACTTACAATAAAACAGAGAAATATGCAGCTGAGGCCAGAGATCAATAAGTTAAAATATATTAAAGGTTAAAACACTATAAATAATAATTTAAATCAATTATTAAAATATCTGGAGAAGAGGACTGTTTTCACCCACTGATCCATTTCTTCCCATCTCAGTGCCACACAGCTTTCTCTTGTACCACGTAAAACATGGTTATCAATGCACAAAATTCCAACAAATGCTTTAAATCAGCCCTTAGCACACCCTGTCCACTGTTCTTCCATGATGGTCCAAAGTGGAAGAGGCATTCCTTCTTCTACAGCTAGCAAAGAAACCAAGCAGGCTGGCAGAAGGATAGGATGAACTGCCCTTACTCTACCAACCACTTCCGTCACCTTCGTGACTTCCAAGCACTCACCAGCTCTGATTTCCCGACTGCCTCTGTCCACCAGGCAAGTCGTTAAATATGAGGCTGCTTTACAGCATTCAAGTGGCTTTTGCACTTGTGTACTGATCTTTTTCCTCCTACAAGAAGTCCAAGGCAGTATGCATAGGTGTTCTTTCTATTTTATCCTTAGAACATCCCTGTGAAGGAGGTTAGGCTGAGAGTTAATTATTACACTTAATGCAACTGCATTTATATCCCACCTTTCTTCTTCTTGTGACGAACTCAAGGCAACTTATGTAGCTCATGCTCACAACAACCACCCTGTGAGGTAGCTTAAGTTGACAGTCTCTGACTGGCTCAAAGTACCCAAATGAGCTTCATGAAAGAGTCGCAGTTCAGCACTCTAACCACTACATCACACTGGTTTTTAAGATTTAGTTTATAATCCCTTAAATATGCTGTAACCTAGATGTCATCCCAAAGTCAAAAGAACCTTACTTATATTGACCTGTCAGGTCTCAGATTATCAAGCCAAGAACAGTAGCAACTTGCATCAGCTTTGACCTCTTTTCTTTCCACAGCACATCCTCATGTACCACTATGTAAGTTTACAGTCCTCAACTGATGCAGTGAGCATGAATTTGAAACAGCTGTTTCAATGTCAACCAAGTTCGACTTCTACTCAAACAGCAATATTTCTACTAAATGGTAGAAATGAAGCTATTTTGTAAAGTTTACACATCTGCCTAAACACCTTGTGTTGACCAAAAATGCTTTTAATAGATCAAGAATTTTTTAGAAATCTTTTATGTAAAATCAGTATTTTTCCACCAAGGCTACAAACTAGTAAGGTGCCCTGGCATTATGCCTACATTATTACACACTATTTTAACTATTATAGCAAATTGGTCACATTCTTTTCTTAAGAAGCTTGCTCCAGTTATAATATCTTAACTTCTGAATTCACTACAGGTAGGTGTTTCATGCTGAAATATAATTGTTCACCCCTCTGTTCTAGTCCGAAATCATATCATACAGTACCAGTGTCCTCAGTGCAAATAATGAGCACCTTCAATGACCAGTTCTTCTGTTCAGGCTCCCTGCAGATGATAACAGAGCCAAATAATTTATGCTTATCACAGCGAACTCCAAATAAACTGGTTTGAACATGACAGCTTTGCTGGATCATAACAAAGGTCCATACTATCTGACATCCTGTTTCTCACACTGTCCAAACAATTATCCTTTGGGAAGCCTACAAACAGGATGTGAAGGCAAGAGCTTTCTCCCGTCACCACTCCTCAGTGACTTGCATCCGTTGATCCTAGATATAGCATGCAGTGGCCTTCATAGCTGGCCTTGAATTTGTCTAATCCCCTTTAAAGCCATCTAAGCTGATGGTCACCACAGCAACTTGTGGCAGAAAATTCCATAAATTAAATATTCTGTGTGAATAAGTACCACCGTTTGCCTGTCCTGCATCACCCACCATTATGCTTCCCTGAATGACTGAGTTCTTTGGTGAGGAAGAACACAGGTGTGGCTGCCAGCACTTTACAGAATGTGAGCACCACAAAAGCACTTGGCCTACTGCAACTGCTCTGAGCACTTTTGTTCTCTCCCATTCACAGGGCACCTGAGCTACAGAACAGGAGTCTTTGTCCTTGACAAAAACACACGAAGAAAGGGTTTCCAGCTAACCATCATTCATGAGCTTGATGAAAAGGGAAAGCAAGCAAGGGATTCAGTTTTACATATACATTTTGCCCTTCACTCCTCACCCTACAGAACTAGTATACACATCAGGTCTCTGCTGTGTACGAACTATATACCCTGTAGCCTGGATCTTCCTGACTGAACATGTTCATAATGTTCTCACCCCACCCTGTTCTTCAGAGCCCTCCTGAACACTCACCTTTTCTCTTAATCCACAATTTTAACAAACTTAATCCACATGCTCAGTGGAAATAATGTGAAGGTACGCATAAATGTATTACCTCATATCATTCCTGGTTCTTCTGCATCCCTCCCTCCTCATCTCCAACGTTAAATGTTTAAGCTGTAAGTTCTTTGGAGACAGGAATTTTATTAATAACTCTAAAAGGTAATTGGGAAGACTGCATGTCTCTTCTCCATCCCACCCCCTCTCTGTCTCACCATCCTTAACTATGCTTCCTCTTTCCACAGTGAAAAGTTACTCACCAGAGCCCAATCACCATTTAATTTCGTCCCCATTTTACACTCTCCTATGTGAAACTGCACCCTTCTATTTCCCAGAACACTCAGCTTTGCAATCATCTTGACTTCCTTCTCAAATCTCAGCACACACTTCCCCTAAGGGAAAGCCTCAATCCACCCATAGTGCTTCCCCAACTCTAAAGGAAGTCAATTAAAAGGCCACCTTTCAGTAAGAAAGGGTGGGAAGAGAACTTCTGAGTGATCTGACATAGACTGATGTCCAATTAATAGTGGCAATCCGATGACTCCCCATTCACTAAATTATACTGCTGAAATGAGGGAAGCTAGGGAGAGGAATGAGATAACTTGGGATGGCTTTCTATGAGACTATGAGCTCAATGCGGTGCTGGTACTCACGGCTATGTCCTAGGCAGAGGGTTGTTTTATTTAACCTCCCCCAGCACAGTGCACCCAAGAGGCGCTGGACTGCAACTCCCATCATGACCATAACGGCTGGGGATTATGGGAGCTGCACTTCACATCGGGTGGGGAGGCACCGGGTTGGAGGCTGCTTGCAATGCACAGAACATCCCGCAGGCCTGCAGGATCCTCTGCGGGAACCCTCCTTTTCCAGGCGGATCGCTCCCCGAACAGGCCAGACTCCATAGTGGCACCCGCTAGAAGCCCCCCAGACAGACACAGGCACACTCAGGAGGGGGCGGGAGCTTCAACTAGGCCAGGAAGCTGCCACGGCCACCCCATCGCCCCCTCGCAGCCAGCTCGGCCGCCCGCTGAGGAGCTGGGAGAAAGGAAGGGAAACAAAACGGGGACCCCGCCCCCTCCGCCGCCGCCCCCCCCCACCCGGCCCGTACCTTTGTCGCTCGGTGCATCCCGGCCGCACGGAGGGGCCTCCTCCTCGGTTGCCTCCCCTCTCCTGCCCCCTCCCCTGCGCGATCGCGACGGCGCCCGGCAGCCACTCGGCAACACCTCACGTGGTGCGGGCTCCCACAACCTACACGACAACGACCGGCCCAGGCCTCGTACGTCATTACCCAGCGTCAAGGGCTCCAAAGCGACGAGAGAGGTGGGGGAAAGAGAGCGGGAAGCCGCTTTTGGGCGAGGCGTGCTGCGCATGCGTCGCGTGGAACTTCGCGGCGCAGTAAGGAAAGGAGAAGTTCCGCCATCTTCGGGATGCGTGAAGAGCCTGTGCGCATGCCCCGGTCTGAATTGAAGGACGGGCCGGCGGGACGAGCTCTTCCTAGTGCGCATGCGTGATTGATCTCTGGTTGCTAGGAGAAGCGAGCTCGCGTTTCTCTTTGGACGTTGGGAACGAACGCATGAAGGCTTCACTTCACGTGTTCATACCGATCGTCTGAAGGCGACTACAGAACGTTCATTCAGACCCAGAAGTCTTGCTTGCTAGGTGTAACCCATTATACATTATTTCTCAATTGCAAAACTATTTTCTTTCTCATTTATTCTACATTTAAATAGCACTTTTGAGGACACAAATTCATTCAAGGGGCTTACAAGGAACGTGGAAAGAATGCATTCCAGATGTTAAAAGTAAATATTATAAATAACTAGATAAATCTGACAACCCCAACAAGAGCACTTCTGGTAGCAAATGAAGTGAATGTGCAAAGAGGAGCAAATTCAGGCACATACATGTTGGGAAGCAGATGCCTTGCCTTAGTGGGAAATCCATGACAACTGTTCACTGAGGACATGCTTTGGATGGTCATCTTGCAGGTTCTCCCACAAACACACCCCATGGAAAGTATTCTGGAATAGGAAGAGTTTGGAAGCTGCAACCATAGCAATGGATTCAGTGTTAGCTGGAAAGTCTGTACTGTTTCACCCTACACACACCCTTGTCTGCAGAGACCACAAACTTAAATAAAAACGCAGACAGACACACATTCAAAGAATGAAAGTATCCCCCCTACTTTTTTCTAGAGCATGGCATACATTTGAATGTAAGGTGTGTTCAGCGACTGTGAGATTATGTGTGGCAAATCTGAACCAGAGTGAAAAGAAAAAATCTGGCAGGTTCCCTCCAGTTAAACCAACTAGAATGTCTTATGGGCTTTCCCAAACTGTTGGTTGATTGATCTGTTGCCCTCCAGATGTTTCAGATGGCACTTCTCGTCACTTCCTGGACCTTCATGCTGGTCGGGCCGATCACAGTTGTGGGGCAGAAAGGAGAATATGGAGGCCACCTTGGACTCCTTGAAGGAAAGGTGGAGTAGAAATGTAACATTTAAGGACATAAGAAAAACCAGGCTGAAGCAGACCAAATTAAATCAGATCACTCCGTACAGGCGGTGGCAAAACAGCCTCAAGCAGGATGGGTGCAAGACCCCTGCCCAAGCTCCTTGCAGCTGGTGCGTACAGGCAGGCCACCTCTATAAGAAGAAGCACATGGTCCACAAGACCAGTAGCCCCTGATAGCCTCCTCCTCCAGGAATCTGTCCAAGCCCCCTTTAAAGTCATCAAATTGCTGGCCATCCCCACATCCCATGGCAGTAAATTCCATAGTTTGACTATGTTGCGTGAAGAACTTCCGTTATCTGTCCTAAACATCCCTCCTATTTATTTATTTATTTATTTATTTATTTATTTATTTATTTATTTATTTATTTTTGGATTTATATCCTGCCTTTTTCCTACAAAGGGCTCAAGGCAGCTTACATCTCCTCCTCCATCTTATCCCCACAACAACAACCCTGTGAGGTAGGTTGGGCTGAGAGTCTGTGACTGGCCCAAAGTCACCCAGTTGGCTCCATGGCTGAGCGGGGACTAGAACCCAGGTCGTCTGAGTCCCAGTCCCATGCTCTTCACCACTACACCACACTGGCTCTCCCTATCAGCTTCATGGGATGAGTCTGGTTCGAAAACTCCTGTTAAAACAGCAGACATGGGAACCCCCATCAAGCCATGAGTCAACACGAGGCATCCCTGAATGCTGTCCTAACCTGGCCCAGAAAGATGGCAAAGTTGGCACCAGGCGGGCCTCAGTGAGATCACGCCACAATCAAGGGGCCACAACTGAGAGTAAACACACACATACAGGCATCTGGAAGCTGCGCTAGGTTGTTGTACGCGTCAGTGTGGTCTGTGTCGTAAGCCGCACTTTAAACATTCAGTTTACTGACGCTAGCCCAGAGGCGGCGTTAGAAGACTACCTACCAGGGCTGCTGTGCACCTTCTTGGTGACAACACCGGGGCTGAAGAACACCCCCCCCCCCAGACTCTTACCTGGCACCTTCTTTATGCTCCTTTGGCCCCAGATGAAGAAGGCTTTTTCCATTCACACACCTTCCATTCTTGCAACTTGAGGGCACCATCCTATGCCCTGAAGCTTATGTGCACCCTGCACTTGCATCTCACACCAATATTTTCTCCAAGAGGTCATGCTGGGCTGTCTAGATTTAGTGCTCAGGAGGGAAGGAAGCCAGGGTGCCGGCTGAAAGGAGCACCAGTCTGTGACCCCAGCCTTCTCCAGTCCCATTTCCCCTCTTGCAGGCCTAGCTGCAACCTTAGCGGTATGTGGGAGACCGGCAAATATCTTTCCATACCAGCTGTGAAGAGTGCATCAGGCACGCCGCCTTTGGATTGTGCCCTTAGCGTGCTTTTTAATCTGAGCTGCCAAATGTTCTAGGCTGTCTTTTGGAAGGCCGTGTACTCTGGATTTGTATTGCTTGTTATCCTTACTTTGCATTTTCTGGGGGAGGGGTGGGCTATGTTTTTCTCTTGAAAACCACCCAGAGAATATGGGTGGATGGGCAAACATAGACTCTAAAGTGACCAAAAGGCAACAAATCTGTTGGAAAAAGAGCTTGTGCTCCTTTGCAGGTAGAGAAACTGCCACTGAAGCAACATGTCAGGAAGGCTTGTTTAGAAAAGGATGGCATTCATGATGCATCCAAACATGCTTATCCTCCTCTGTTTTTATTATCTCCCTGAACAGGCTGATGGATCTGCTGAAATAGGAGCTCAGTCTTCTGTGCAGTGTTAAGCAATTAACATATATAAAAATACCAATGAAATAAGTTTTGCAGCCTTGTACCGAAAGCAGGGAAGCGGTAAGAGAACGACATGACTCTGGTGCCCTCAGCTGGATGCTTCATGTTACCGCTTTCACTTTTGTGTAGAATGGAAAAAAGAAGTACAGGCACATTTTTTAGAACTGGTCCATCTTTCAGGCAACGGCAAAAATGAATGGCCAGCCGCAGAAATCCTGAAGGATAATAAACCCACGTTCAAATGAAAAGTCATCCCAGCATTAGTAGCAATATTAGCATGATGAAACAGAAGTTCTGCTCCTTCTATTTTAGATTAACCGCATCAATCTTGAGTCAATGTTGGCCTCCCGTTTGGATTCTTACACATGCAATCTGACCTTTTAGAGTATTATTATTCCATTAGGAAAACCCATGGCATCAGGCTGAATCTTGCTGCGGAATACGAGTGGCAGCCTTTCCATCAGACCGCAATGAAGAGGGAGAGAAAGGAGGCCGGGCTATTCCATCACCTAGCGCTCTCCTGCAACTACAGCTAAGCTGGCAGCCTTTCCATCTGGAATGATTTCCATCCCAGCTGTTTTTATTAAAATGATGGTTTCAAAAATGGGAAAAAGCTCTTTTCCTCCTCCCTTGCCCTCCACTTTTCCTTCTGTGCCAGGTCTTTTCTTTTTGAATGCCCCCCTCAGAGCCCTTTTGACTCACAGCGGGCAATCATGCTTCCTCTAAATAGGCGAGAAATTGGAAGGACTGTCTTTTATAAAGCATTTGCAGGAATCAGTCCCAGAACAGTTGGCTCCCTGTGAGCTAAAGCCATACCTGTATCCCCACAGGATCCCAGTAAACGTGCAGAAGGGCATCGCAGTAGGTTGTCCTTTATTCCTGCTGTGGGAATTCCTTTATTCGGGGTGGGGATTTCAGGGAGGTGCCTGAGGTGGGGAAAGGCTCTCTTGCCCTTGGCTGGACTTCAGCCCAAGATGCAGCCATGTTATTCCTGGCTCTGACCCTTGTGATCCTGCAGGAGAAACCCACACGTTTGGTCCCTTCCGTGGCTTGTGTCTGCTGCCCCCTCACCCATCCCCTTTGCAAATGAGACGCTGAAGCCGTGGGAGCACAGACACTGGGCAAGGCACACGCCCCGGCAATCCCTTGACCTGATCTGTCTGCATGAGCTGCGTTTATCCTGGAGCACAGAATCTAGGGGGTTGCTTCAGTGGAGGGTGCTGTGACAGCCCTGCACATATCTGCAAACTTCTCAATGGCAAGGCAATCTGCAGTGGCACTCAGGAGAGCAGTGACTGGAGAATAAACCTCATCTATATGGAAATATGATGTTGTTAAGGGAAGATCTTGCGTGGCACTAACTTCCATTGAGCACAGGGATGGGGAACGTCTCCTGGCCACCAGGTCCCCAGCGCAACCCATGAAGCTTCTCCTCCTGGTATCACTCCCACTTCGGTTTGCTATGCAGCAGTCATAGCTGCTAGGGAAACCCAAGTTGGAGATATGATCAGGGGACATTGAGCAGCTGACAAGGGAAAAGGACTCCGGTGATAAGAGGGAAATAATGGGCAGCAGGGGGACCACTGTCGATGCCACCCCAGCCCCTACTGGGTGTCCCAGGAATCCATCTGGCTTCAAGGGCGGAATGGTTTTCCACTCTTGGAAGTAGGAAGATGCAAGTTGGCAGGATTCAACAGGTGGAGAGAATTTTTAAAAGCTTTCAAACACCTACTGGAAGAATGGCACATATTCCTGCATTTGGGATATTACAAAGGATCCTTCCAGCCTCCGTACAGAACCCCACTTAAATGCATAACTATCTCCTAGGAACCTAGTATGTTCTGTTGCTGAAAATCCATACTGTGGCTGGGTTCTACGACCACAGTGAGAACTGTTCCCAGTTATGGGTATCCCTGCCTGAGGCATTTATTCTGTGCTTGTCATTCCTCATTCACAGTAGTTTGCAAGTGTCTTACATAATATCACATCCTCCAGGCCATCTTTTGTGCTTTCTAAGCATTTCCACATCTTAATTTAGAGTGAGGAAATTTT